GATGAAAGTATGAATTCTGATGTGGAAAAATCCAACAAAAATTTCTGGTTTTCTCAACCTCGCTTGGAACTTCCTAACTTTTCGGGTGATAACCATAGAGAATGGATGAGAAAATGTGATAAATTTTTCAGTATCTATGGGGTAAATGAGAAAAAGAAACTGGACGCTATTGAACTATACTTAGATGGAAAAGCAAATAATTGGTACAAGAGTATGAAAAGAGTAAGGGGGAAGTTGTCTTGGAAAGAATTTGAAGAAGAGTTAGTGAAGCGTTTTGGAGAAAAAGAAGGTCAAGATGAGATCGAGGAATTTAACAAGTTGCACCAAAAAGGTCCTGTTGTGGAGTATCATGAAAAATTTGAGGAGCTTAAGTCATTGGTTCTTTGTAAAGATCCCCATTTGACTGAAAAGTACTTCATTTCAAGCTTCATTAGCGGCTTAAGAGGAACTCAAACCCATGGTAAGGTTGTTGGAGCCTCCGTCACTTTTGAGGGCTTTTGAGATAGCAACAGTTCAAGAACAGACCCTGGATTTTGCATTGAAACAGAAATCAGCAATGTATTCCACTCCAAGAACAGCTCCACCACCAGTTCGAGTACCTCATGTCATGAGAAATGCTCTACCAGCACCAAGGGGAGGTAGCAGTGAGACTTTCAAAAGGCTTTCTCCACAAGAAATCCAATATAGGCGGAATAACAACCTCTGCTGGAAATGTGTAGAAAAATGGGGACCGGGCCACATTTGTAAGCTGAAACAAATAAATGTGATAACCATGGAAGATGATGAAGATGCTAGGGATCTCCGGTTTATACAAGATGACTCAAATGACGCGGGAACTATAGTGGAGATTAGTGATGATCAAGTCCGCAACATAACCCAGGTGGAGGAATGTTGGTCTTTGGAAGAAGAGGATAGAAAAATAATCCTCATCACAGGATATATCCATGGATTAAGAATCAAAATCTTAATCGATACTGGAGCCACCCAAAGTTTTATAGATACTAAACTGGTCTATACACTGAGATTGAACACTAGAAAAATCAGGCCATTTGTAGTGACTGTAGCTGATGGGTATAAACTGAAGAATGATCAAGCTTGTCCTGACACCAATTGGTCTATTCAACAATATGACTTCAGGTTTGACCTCAAGGTTATTGACTTAGGCGAGTGGGATATCATACTGGGCACAGACTGGATGTCTAAATTCAGCCCAATCTTGTTTGATTATGAGAAATACACAATTCAGCTTAACAGAAGGGGTGAACGGTTCCTGCTACAAGGCCAAGCCTATGACACATATTGGAGAGTTGAGGAAGCTTTACAAAAGGTTGAAAACCACAAGAGGAGAAGAGAGCAATGGGAATGGGAACAGGAGTTGAGAAGGAGAAATGAAAACCGAAGACAAAGGTATGTAACAAGGGGAAACGAAAGCAACACTGGTTACCTTTATGCAGTACAGGTGGAAATGATTCCCGAAGACATTGAGGCAATCCTTAAGCAATTTGAGTCTGTGTTTGCTGGACCATCCGCATTACCACCTGAGAGAGCCATAGACCATTAAATTGTTTTGAAACCGGGAGCAGTACCATTCAAACTGAAACCTTATAGGTACCCTCATGCCCACAAAACCGAAATTGAATCACAAGTGGATCAAATGTTGCAGAAAGGAACTGCAAGGCCAAGTAATAGCCCATACTCCTCACCAGTTCTACTTACCAAGAAGAAGGATGAAACATGGAGGTTATGCACGGATTATAGATACCTCAATGAACTTACCATCAAGAGCAGGTATCCCATTCCTATTATAGAAGAATTGCTTGATGAATTGTTTGGAGCTAAATATTACTCTAAGATAGATTTGAGAGCTGGTTACCATCAGATATGCATGAGGGAGGAGGACATTCCAAAAACGGCATTCCAAACTCACAATGGACACTATGAGTTTGTGGTAATGCCATTTGGTTTGACAAACGCCCCAACAACCTTCCAAGCATTGATGAATGAAGTGTTTAAACCTTATTTGGGAAAATTTGTGTTAGTTTTCTTTTATGATATTTTGGTTTACAGTGTCAGTCTTGAAGAGCATGTCACTCATTTAACAATAGTGTTACAAACTCTGAAAGAAAATGAACTGTTTGCCAAAAGATCAAAATGCACTTTTGCTCAGCTCTCGGTTGAATATTTGGGCCACATCATATCTGAAAAAGGTGTGGAAATGAATCAGGAAAAAGTGCAAGGTATCTTGGAATGGCCTGAACCTTCAAATGTCAGAGAACTGAGAGGATTCCTGGGATTAGTAGGTTACTACAGGCGATTTGTTATAGGATTTGGGATCATTAGCAAACCACTGACATTACTATTGAAGAAAGATTCCTTCCAGTGGAATGAAGATGTTGCAAGATCATTCCAGAAGTTAAAAGAAGCCCTTACCAGTGCTCCAGTTCTCAGACTTCCAGACTTCACTATTCCATTTGTAGTAGAAACAGACGCGTGTGAATCAGGCATGGGAGCAGTCCTAATGCAACAAGGACAGCCAATTGCATACCTCAGCAAGTCCTTCAACAACCAGAACAAGGGCTTTTCATTTATGAAAAGGAGCTCCTAGCCCTAGTGATGGCCATCAACAAATGGAAGCACTATCTCCAAGGTCACCATTTCATCATAAAAACGGACCACCAAGCACTCAAGTATCTTTTGGAACAGAAACTATCCACTCCAATGCAATACAAGTGGCTGACCAAGTTAGTAGGTTTGGATTATGAAATCCAATACAAAAAAAGGAAAGATAATATAGCTGCTGATGCTCTTTCCCATAGAGGTTCACAAGAAGAAGAAGGTCATGTGGTAAATGTTATCTCTACCATTAAACCTGATTGGATACAACAGTTGGAGACTAGCTATGTTAATGATGAGGAAGCTCAGAAAATGATTGCCATAGCCACTCTGAATCCTTCAAACGAATTGGACCTACAATACATCAATGGCATATTGAAGCAGAAGGGAAGGATGTATGTGGGGCGTCAAGCTGGAATTAGGCAGATCATAATGGAAAACTTCCATTCCTCACCGCTGGGAGGCCATTCTGGACAAAAAGCAACCTTGAAAGGGATTAAATTGCTATTCACCTGGAAGAACCAAAGCAGCGAAGTTGAGGAATTTGTGAGAAAATGTCAAGTTTGCCAGGCCAGTAAAGGAGAACATGTGAAATATCCAGGATTACTACAACCTTTGGAGGTACCACAACAGGCCTGGAAATGTATATCAATGGATTTCATTGATAAACTACCTCCCTCCTTGGAAGGGTTTGATTCAATTCTTGTGGTGGTTGACCGGCTCATAAAATATGCTCATTTTCTTCCCTTATCACACCCTTACACGGCCAAAACAGTAGCGGAATTGTTCTTTAAAGAAGTGTTCAGGCTACATGGAGTTCCAGAGACAATAGTAAGTGATCGTGATAAGATCTTCACTAGCCATTTCTGGAAGGCTCTGTTTGAAGTTATTGGGGTTAAACTCAATCAGAGTACGGCTTACCATCCTCAATCCGACGGCCAAACGGAACGAGTTAATCAATGTTTAGAAGCATATTTGAGGTGCTTCTGTAGTGATGCTCCCAATAGCTGGTCAACCTGGATAGTGCTTGCTGAATGGTGGTATAACACTACTTATCATACCAGCTCTAAGATGACCCCGTTTGAACCATTGTATGGTTCTCCTCCAAACACCATTCCTCTAGGACCGTATCAATCAGTGGCTATCCCGGCAGCTGGTGACCTGGTGGAGCAAAAACAGAAGGTTTTGAAGATTCTCAAGGAGAATCTGGAAAAAGCTCAAAGTAGAATCAAATTCTATGCTGACACCCACCCGATCTGAGAGGACTTTGGCCATTGGAGACTGGGTTTACTTGAAATTACAACCATACAGGTAGAATTCTTTGGTTTTCAGAAAATCATTAGCTCTGTCATCAAGTTATTTTGGTCCTTTTAAAATTTTGGAAAAGATTGGATCAGTGGCATATAAACTGCAATTGCCACCGCATTCAAGGATTCATCCCATATTTCATGTCTCTCTACTAAAAAAGTATGCTGGAAAGGTTCCTATCACTCCTTCTGAATTACCTCACTTGGATGGTGATGAAGAAGAATCCATGTGTCCTGAAAAGGTTTTACAAAGGCGGTTCCTGAAACGTGGTGATCTAAATGTGGTGCAATGGCTGATTAAATGGAAGAATCTCCCCCTGGAAGATGCTTCATGTGAGGACAGTTTGTTTATCAAGAAGCAGTTCCCTCATTTTTTGACTTGAGGACAAGTCTAAACTTACCCGGAGGGTTTGTCATGCCGTCGGGTTTGATCCATTAGAGTCCGGGTTAGGTTTCTGGAATTCGGGTTCAATTGGAGTATGATTTGGAGGCGAACTACGTCGTTTTACTTCCTGCTGAGTTTTTGGACAGAACATCGGTGCACATGCCATGCACACTTACGTGAAGCTTCCTGGAATTTGCTAAGGTTGAGCTGGAAGAAGCTTACCTTGTGCAAGCTGGCTTTTTAGTATTTATTCTAAATTACCGAAATTATGAAAATGGTAGAAGATTAGTATAAAACATTCTGTATGATTCCCAGAGATGATTATGTTAATGATGAATGAAAATCTATCTTCTCCCTAATATCATTCCTGCCTTCTTCTGCCTCACTCTCTGTCATTCCTTTTTCTGCAAATCTTATCTTTCCTTTCTATTGCTTCATTTTCTGAATTTTACCCTTTTATGCTAAAAGTAATAGTACAACCGATAACATGACAGTTTAATTGTTTGCCCAAAATGAAAAAGTCCAAGCAGAAGCCTAAAATGCCAATCCGCCTAAAACAAACCATTAAAAACGGATTGGATTGGTCCGGATTATACACCAATCTGATCCGGTTACGGATTGAAAATTTTTCAAACCGTAATGAACGGTTTGGTTACGGATTGCTATCAATTCGGACCAATCCGGACCGTGAACACCCCTACTTCACACAACAAAAAGCATCGGCATATATGCTGATTGAATCAGCCTAACTATAACAAAATTATAATTTGACCCATTTAAATTCTTTTAATTCTATTTTGGCCCTTAAAAGCCATGAATGCTTTAGTCCTTCTTTAGCATTAATTAAATTTAAAAGGGCTAAACTATAATTTAAAATTGTTAGTATGGTCTGTTTAGCTCATCAGTAGTATGTAATTTTCAGTGAATGATTATGGATTAATGAAGAAAAACAATATTTTCTCCCCCAAATTCTCATCTCAATCCCTAGATCAAATTCTCCTTTTCTTCCCTTTGTTCCCAAGATTCCTCTGAAATCTAAATTTCTACTATAGGCTTCGTCATCTTCCTCCCGTCTTCTTCTCCAAACCCGGCCGCCGCTGCAACTGTCGGCGGACGAAAAGGTCCAGGAATCCATTGCTTACTTCATCTAACTCATCTCTGTTCTTCTCCTCTTCTTCCTTTGTTTCCTTTTTTTTTTTTCACCAGGACCTCTAGGTGAAATGCCCACCAACGACGCTTCGCAAGGTAATAGCATCTTTTCAATCTACTAATCATTTATTATTATTATTATTATTTTGAAAAAAAAACTACTAATCATTTACTCCGTTATTGGTTATTATCTGTTTGGTGGTTTTCTTCATTATTTGTAGTTATTGGCAGTCATCTTTTTGTGATAATTACTTAATTCCTTTCAATTTGTGGGTCTATACTGATGTGGGGGATTTGGGGTCTTTTTATGGTTAATTATCTGTGAGATTATTCCGGTGACTTCCCTCTGATAAAAAAAATAATAATAATAAAAAGGAAGTTTGGTTTGTTATGCATCTCAACGTTTGGGCTCTTCTCCATCCATAGTACTCTCTGTGTGGAAACCGAAAAACATGAAAGTTAATAGAGTTCTGTCTGTAGTTAAGGTTAAGAAATGATTGGGCAGTTCTTTTGTTGTGTCTGTTTTGTATAAAGCTATGGTGAAAGTTCAATAGTTTGCATTCATTCTGAAACAATAAAAGTTGTTCATTTTCTTACTTTCTTCTGATCTTCTCTGTTACTACTACTATCTGCCTTGTGACTAAATTTCCTATGTCGCAAACTGACTTAAGCCTTTAATGGTTAGATTTTTGTTATTGAGAATTAGAATTAATATAAATGCCCTGACTTGTTGATTCGTTGCAGGGGCATCAAACTGTTATCTTTTCAAAAGCCGCTTGCAAGAGTTTGCTCAGAAACTTGGATTGCCCAGGCCTGTTTATGAAACTGTGAAGGGAGGGCCTCCCCATGAACCCACATTTAGCTCAACCGTGATTTTGAATAATGTTAGATACGATTCTCTTTCTGGGTTTCATAATAGAAAAGGTGCTGAGCAATCAGCTGCAGAAGTAGCCCTTTTGCAACTCTCTAAGTCAAGAACCACGGTAGAAAGCATTTCGCAACCAGTGGTAAGATTCTATTTTCATTTAGGAACTATTTTTTCATGGTCTTGTCTTGTGCCTTTTTGTCAAGGAGGAGAAGATGTCCCAGTAGGTAACTGTCTCAAGATGATTAAATTGTTCATTTTGAGTCTACCAGGCATTATACTTGACTATGAACAGCTAAATTTACTGTTTGGTATTATTGATGTGTGTAGGTTACTAGTGATTGTAGAGGAACCAGGTTAAGAAAACTCACTTGTAAATATAACTGGATTACGTACATTGGTTGTCAGTTAGATTGAATAGCTGGGCAAGTTTTCTCATCATTTATGGTTGTTTTATATGAGAATGAGAGATATGATTCATTTTATCATGTGGCAGTAAGAAAACTTCACATTTAATTATATTATAACTGGATTGCGTACATTGATTCTCAGGTAGATTGAATAGGTGGGCAGGCTTCTCAGCGCTTATGGTTGTTTTATTGGGGAACGAGAGATATGGTTCAATTTGTCATGTGGCAGGTCTTAAAGTTGGAAGTACTAATATGCATGAAAATGTGGTCATTTGTTTATAGAACTCACAGTGGCAAGCTGAATTCTGTTATAATTTTCGGGAGACATTCTCAGCTCCCGATTACTTCGTACATCCTTGGATATTCACTAACATCGTGTTTATTTCAGCATGAGACAGGTTTGTGCAAAAACTTGTTGCAGGAATTTGCTCAGAAAATGAACTATGCATTACCAGTTTATCATTGTCAAAAGGTTGAGACTCCGGGCAGGGGATCATCGTATTCTTGTACTGTTGAGACTGGGGGAATGAAATATATTGGAGGAGCGGCAAAAACTAAAAAGGAAGCTGAGATTAAAGCTGCCCGTACTGCTTTGTTAGCTATCCAGGCTAATTATTCTTCAGCTGAGTCTTCGGATGATGATTCGGGGGATGATGATTTGGTGCTTACTGTAGTTCCATTTAAGAAGAAAGAACCCGAAGAAAATACTGCTGCAGTCAAAAGAAAGAAAAAGCATTCAAAAAAGAAATTCAAGAAGAGAAAACGTGCGAAAGATAATCGTGGTCAAAACAAAGGGGATGAGAGCCTCCCTGTGGATGATAATGTTGGACCTGGAGATCTCAACGGTGGTAGTGTCGTCCAACCAAGTGATTATAAAGTTTTACCAGCTGAAGTGGCGGATTCTATATGTCCTGTGGAAGATAATGTTGGATCTGCTGATATCAACAGTGGTAGTGTCTTTAAAGCAACCGATTTTGTAGTTTTATCAGCTGAAGACACAGATCCTAAAAGCCATGTGGAAGACAATGTTGAACTTGGTGATATCAATGGTGGTAGCCACGTGAAAGCAACCAATTTTGAAGTTTTACCAGCTGAAATAATGCATTCGAAGTGTATAGCAGCTGATAATGTTAGACCTGGTGATATCAACAGTGGTGTCGTCAAATCAACTGATTTTGAAGCTTTACCAGTTGGAGTGGAAAATTCTAGTTTCCCTGATGTGGGAGTTGATTCAATCCCCTACTGGAACTGGAATGCGTATTCCTATCCAAATATCAATCCTTATAATCATGGTGCCGTTGGAAGTTACCCTTGTAATAGCGACGATGCTGCAACCCTGATATGCAAGGGAGATTTTCATCCAGAGCCTGCCAATTGTGGTGGAAACCGTTTGGTTTCGTGCGTTGAGGATATTGGGGAAGGTTCTTTGGATGGGCTGTTTGAAGATTTAACCCCTTAAAAGTAAAAATCCCACCACATTTTGGTGTCAACTTCTAAAATCCTGGTATTTCGCTGTCTGGTGAGCAGTTCCACCAGGGAATTAGAAAATTCTAAAAATTAGAGATTCAGGATGAAGATGGTGAGCTCATCTTGCATGTTAGTTCAGGCTATGTAAAGTTATGTAGTACCAGTGTCCATGTATTTTGATGTGCTTCGTATCGGCCCGGGTTTTTGTGAAGAAGTGGAAATGTGAAGTTTAAAATCTTGATCAAGAATTCAAATCTTGGAAAAAGCAAATAGATAAATGGTTAGGGTGGTTCTAAATTTTAAAAAAATAGTTAAACAGTTAAAAAAAAAAAAAAAAAAAGGAAGAAGAAACAAAGAAAACAGAGTAAAAGCAGCGAAAGCTTTCACAATCGAATGATTGTGGTGTCAATATATAATAATAATAGTAATGCAGCCATACTTTATTCAGAGGAATTCTTATTTAAGTCATTTTCGATAAATGTGGTTGCTTTGCCGTCGTTTGGAAATGGTGCTGCAGAAATATACGAGAGTATAGTTGCAGTTATGGCTACTGGAGCCAATTGGAGAGATATATGAAATCATCTTACTGAGTATAGTTGCAGTCATGGCTACTGGAGCCAATTGGAGAGGTATATGAAATCATTTTACTGAATGGAATGGTTGTTTGTTTGACACCCTTGGTTACCCTCTGTTGTGGCGGCACCCAGATCTCAGAACCTACTGGAAGAGTCAAGTGCTAACATCATATAGGTGTTGATGAGCATATTGTTAGAGCTGAAAATTTAAAACTTCAACACTGATACTCCTAAGAACTGAAGAGTTACAGAGAATGAACAATCAGTATGGTTTAGAATCTGTCTTTTTTGTCAGTGATTCCACTTTCAATGAGTCACGAATTTATAAATTTGTACCACTGTACATTTTTTGTAATATACTATATTCCATGTAATATTAGGGCTGTCAACGAATCGAGTCAAGCCCAAACAGTTAGATGCTCGAGTTCGAGTTCGACAAAAAATTTGGAGCTCGTATTTGAGTTCGAACTCGATCGAACATCTATATTGAAGTTTGAATATGATGATCAATTCATATCCAAATCACATCCAAAATGGAGTTTAGCAAATGAAATACAAAGTTTGGAGTTTCTCTCTACCTCGTTTTAATCTATATGTAAAAAGTTCAACAGATTGAGCAAAAAGATGAGTATATAGATTATCCCAACAATGAAACATGAGCAATAAATTTTTATTGTCTTCTGATTTACTCTTTTCTTTTCCCCCACATAATCATTTTGTATTTAATGAAAAAGATCACATAGTTATTTTAATTTGCTACCTACCTAAGTCGAGCCAAGACGCCTATAAACGCTTCTAACAAACAACCAAATTTTGTGAAAAACCACTAAAGAGTGACCAGAGCAAAAATATGTAGTCGACCATGAACCTCAAATACGCATTCGAATTGCCTCATACATTTCTACTGTGCTTTTGGGCTGAACGTTTGAAAGAAGTTTCTAGAAACGAACTTCCTTAGCAGTTAGCACCACCAAATTAATAATTAGGCCACCTCACTGAACTCAATGAATGGAGATTTGATTTTGATTCAGCCGATTGCCATGAATTAAAAAAAAAAAAAAGAAAAACATATCAAACTGATTGGAATATCACTAGCTATTTTGTCATCAAACTGATTATTGATTATTATTGCGATAAGAGTGGAAAAATTATTATTTTTATCAGCATTCTTACGCGTTTATTTTGGTCTTTCCAGCAACAGCTAGTGAATTTGGCAATCGGCGGCTTGATTGAGGATTCGTGCCGTATTCGCAACTTGCAATTGTAACATTTCACTCAGAAAATAATTTTAAATTTTAAGAATAAAAATATACTCTCTGTAATAGGCTCACTTTCCCTTTTGGGATATTTCAAAACTTAGTCCCACTTCAAACAATTAATTAAGTTTTACTATAAACTCTCTAATATACCTTTTCTACTTTCACTGAAATCAAGAATATTTATTAATTTTAACAATTATTCTCTCATATCAACCAATAACTCACTAGTCATTAATACGGGTGTAGTAGAAATTTCATTTAAAATTAAACACATAAATTACATTATCCACTTTTTCTTAATTTCCGTGTATGTCTAAATGGGCATTTTGAATTGAAATGGAGAAAATAGCAATGTTGATATAGTAAATGATGATTGAATCAAAGTTTTTTTAAAGAATATATTGATATTTTTTATTATTGCAGTTGAGGGTGTCCGAATTATTGTGCTGATGGGAGAGAAACAGATCGATGCATTTAACAACTTGCGTCCAACTACAGTTGAAGGGTAGTTCAACCGCCAACAGAAAGAGATTCATATTGTGTGTGTGTGTGTGTGGGGGAAGGAAGAACACAATATACAAATCTTTGACTTTATTTGTTTATTTTTGTATGAATTTCAAATTAGTAAAAAGATTTCTTTTCTTTTCTCCAAAAAAAAAAAAATTACGGATTCAAGTCACACAAGAATTAGTGAGCAACCATTATCAATAATGCTTAAAATGGATGAATATTTTTTCGACGCAGTATCGAATAGTAATTTAGTATTCTTTCTGTCCCAAAATTATTGTCTAGATTTCATTTTAACTTTAAACATAATTTGAACTAAAAATAAAAAATCTAAACTAGATAATCATTTTGATTTCAGGATGGAAGATTATTACTTATATATCTTCATCGATTGATGAGGTTTTCCGGGTGAATTTTGATTTTAATTGACCAAGAAAAAGTTAAATTGATCCTTTTGTTTGCAATAACATATTATATGGTCTACGAACAAAAGTAGGTACGATTGTACTAAAATTTGTACAATGGATTTGGCAGATTATTTCAAGTGATCTTGATATAGATAATCAAATAAAAGCATATGAAATTACTTATTAAAAAGAAAGTATTATGTATATACGTCTGTACGATTTGCTCGTAACGTACAAAGATCTATTACTATACGATTAATGCACGTATATGTACTTTCGACATAATTTATCATGAATGTGGATTGTGGGTATTCCAGTGACTTTTTGACCTTAGTAGGTATTGGTAGTTTTTAGAATTCAATGTAAAAATCAATGTGCAATAATGCTATTTCAACTGTCAAAAGTTGTTATTCACTAGTTTTTTTTCCTCCCAACTGAACAGAATGGCTAAATACGCGTGATGAAAAATTGTTAAATAAGAACAAATTCAACACATTCCTTTATTTGCTCTAAGAAATGTATGAAGAAATAGCTTTATTTGTTTTTAGTCTTGATGAAACTTCTTTTTCTGGAAATAGTATAATAATTAGGTCAAATGACTTCTTTTTTGGTTGTAGTCTTTGGTCTTTTTGCAAAAATTTCGAAAGTTCCCTATTATTCTCTGAAGTCTAAACCCTTCGTTTTTTTAAAAAAAAAAATAATTTATACGAAGGTTCGTGAATCCCTGAATAACAAACAATTAGGGAAGCAAGTTAACCCCATAACATTTTTGTACGTCTTATAGTGTGACAATTTCACTATAAGCGATCGAAGTTAAGTAATTTTACAGTATTTTCACTCTTGTTTATCATTCTTAGTAGTTATAAATTATTTCTCTTTTGCGACTACTTCCTGTGCTAATGATCATTCCACCACACTATGTGACTATGTGTACTTAATATCAACAAACAAGTTTATGAATATTTATTATGCAATTTTGGGATTTTATTCGCGATAAAAGAAGTATCTTACACATGGACAAAACATCAAATCCTTTTTTTCCACCGCAATGTGATGTTTTTCTTATCAAATGAACTCTTACTAATTACACAATATACATTAATTGACCTAAATTTTATCATCTCTTAAGGTGTATAATTTGTCCCACATCGCACCATGAATAGAAGTGATTCTGTATATAAGTGCCAAAAGCCACCCACTCATTGCCAATTGATTTTGAGATGGGAGCCCAAAGAACTTATATACTTTGACATGGTATCAGAGAGTGCTGGGCTTGTGATGGAGTTTTGTGGCGAACGTGGCCTATGGTGATTTTATATTAACTCACTTGAGGGTTGACTCGTGAGCTTATTGTGGACCGATCCAGCGGTGTAGCTGGTTTTCTCTCACTAGAGCGTTGACTCGGGGGTTTGTTGTGGACCGATCCAGCGGTGTAGCTAGTTTTCTCTCACTAGAGCGTTGACTCGTGGATTTGTTGTGGATCGATCCAGTAGTATAACTGGTTTTCTCCCACTAGAGCGTTGACTCGTGGACTTTCTGTTCTTGTTCTGATCCAAGTCTAATGCTCAAAAAGTTCAAAGACCTACTGGACTTGAGGGAAGGTGTTAAGGTGTATAATGTGTCCCACATCGCCACCGTAAAGAGAAATGATTCTGTATATAAGTGCCAAAGGCCACCCCCAGTCATTATGGATTGGTTTTGAGATAGGAACCCAAAAGACTTATATGCTTTGACATCTTACTTAAGAAAATTATTTTATATACGTTGATCACACTTAATTTTGATTTTTATAACAATTAGTCCATCTGTTCTAAAATAATTACATTAAGATAATCATTTTTCTAACGGAGAAAGTACTAACAAAATTCACATTGCAAAGTAAATAAGAATTTCCCCAAAAAAGAAAAAACTAACAAGAATAAAATAAAATAATTGGTCAGCCCTCATCCTCATGAGTCATAGCCGAAAGACCAAAAGACCTCATGCATGGCAGCTGTCACGCTTATTATTCTCTCATTTACGAATCTTCACAAAAACACCACACACACACACACACACACACACATAGTAATAGTATTTTTTTAAATTGGAAAACTTAATTGAAAAAGCAAAAAAAACCCCTCCAAAACTGTCCAATAAAAACACTCCCAATTTCCTTCAACTCCAAAAAACAAACAAACAAACAAAAAACCAGAAACCCCAAAACCAAAAACACCAAAAAAAGGGGAAAAAAGAAAAACATAACTAAACAAACACATGCTCTGTAACTCTGTTCATCTTCCCCTCTGCTTCCTTCTTCCCCTCACAAACTCCAAGAAAAAAAAGCCTCATTTCTTCTATCCTTCCTCCGCCGCAGCTCCGCCCCCGCCACCCCTAAATGGCCACCCTCCGCGACCGCATCACGGCCTACTTCCTCCTCCTCCTCACCATCTTCAATTCCTTCTCCGCCGCTGATGACGCCGCCGTCATGCAATCCCTCTTAGCTGCTCTCTCTCCGGCTCCATCCGGCTGGTCCACCACCAAAAGCTTCTGCGACTGGACTAATGTTCACTGTGATCCGACCAACAAGTTCGTGACGGAGATAAACATCGACGGGCTTGGCGTTTCCGGTACTCTTCCACCTGAGCTCAACCAGCTCTCTAAGCTCACATCATTTACTGCCCAGAAAAATTCCCTCTCCGGTGCTTTACCTTCTTTCGCCAACATGACCAGCTTGCAGAAAGTTTATCTGGATTCCAATTCTTTAACCTCTGTGCCGCCGGATTTCCTCTTGGGTTGTACTGGGTTGCAGTTTGTTAGCGTCACTGACAATAACTTCTCCCCTTGGGAAATCCCTTTGTACCTAACTGAGAGTGTCAATTTGAACAGCTTTTTGGCGAGTAATGCTAGTGTTGTTGGTGGGATTCCAGATTTCTTCGATTCTTTTCCGAATCTACAGAACTTGCGGCTTTCTTACAATAATTTGTCTGGGGTTTTGCCTAAGAGCTTTGGGGGATCTGAGGTGCAGAATCTATGGCTTAATAACCAGATACAACAAGGGTTGACAGGCCCTATTGATGTTTTGTCGTCCATGTCACAGTTGTATCAAGTTTGGTTGCACGGTAATGCTTTTACTGGGCCTATCCCAGACTTGTCAAAATGCACAAGTCTGTTTGATTTGCAGCTGAGGGATAATCAGTTTACTGGAGTTGTTCCGGAATCATTGATGAATTTGCCAAATCTGGCGAACATATCGTTGCAGAACAACAAGCTGCAGGGCCCAACCCCTCAGTTTAATCCTAAGGTTAATGCTCAATTGGGGACTACTAACAGCTTTTGTACTCCTAGTGGACCCTGTGATCCGCAGGTCACTGCGCTTCTCGCTGTTGCTGGTGGTCTAGGGTATCCTATGATGCTGGCTCAATCATGGACAGGGAATGATGCTTGCCAGCCATGGTCTTTTATTACTTGTGATCCACAGGGTAAGAATGTGACAATGGTGAATCTTGGGAAGCATGGTTTCTCAGGTACTATCTCTCCGGCACTCGCGAATTTGACATCTTTGAGGAATATATATCTCAATGATAATAATTTGACCGGTACAGTTCCTCAAGTTTTGACTACTTTGCCTCAACTTCAGACTCTTGATGTTTCTAATAATAATTTAGCTGGACCTAGGCCTGATTTTCCTACTGGTGTGAAGTTTCTATACAACGGTAATTTGCTTCTTGAGAAAAATGAAACGGGTGGTGGCAGCAGTGGTGGGCCGGCTGGACCAGGATCAACTCCAGGTGGACGCGGTGGAAGTTCATCTGGGGGTGCAAGTCCTAAATCATCAGTTTCGGCAGGTATGATTGCCGGGGTTGTAATTGCTGTTGTGATTTTTGTTGGAGTTGTGTTGTTTGTGTCGTACAAGTGTTATGCCAAGAGAAGGCTTAAGAGTTTTGGAAAGGTTGAAGGTTCCGAAAGAGGGTCTGAAATGATGAAATCAGCTGTAGCCACAAGTGGTACTAATGGCTATGGTGGACTTAGTGACTTACATAGCCACAGCAGTGGTGATCACAACAATGATCTTCCTATGTTTGAAGGTGGAAATGTTGTAATTCCAATTTCAATTCTTCGTGAAGTGACAGGTAATTTTAGTGAAGACAATGTGTTGGGCCGGGGAGGATTCGGAGTTGTTTATAAAGGGGAATTGCATGATGGAACTAAGATTGCTGTGAAGAGAATGGAATCTGGGGCAATGGGTACCAAAGGCATGACTGAGTTCCAGTCAGAAATCGCTGTACTTACCAAAGTGAGGCACAGGCATTTGGTTGCCCTTTTAGGTTATTGTGTTAATGGCAATGAGAGGCTTTTGGTGTACGAGTATATGCCGCAGGGAACCCTAGCGCAGCATTTATTTGAATGGCAGGAGCTTGGCTATCCTCCTCTTACTTGGAAGCAGAGGGTAACCATTGCACTAGATGTTGGAAGAGGAGTTGAGTATCTCCATAGCCTGGCCCAGCAAAGTTTTATCCATCGCGATCTAAAACCTTCGAACATTCTTCTTGGGGATGACATGAGGGCAAAGGTTGCTGACTTTGGTTTAGTAAGAAATGCACCAGACGGAAAATACTCTGTTGAGACTAGGTTGGCTGGAACATTTGGATATCTTGCTCCTGAGTATGCTGGTATGTCTCTTCTCCTTTGCGCTTTTTGTTTTTATGCATCTTCTTGAATGGAAAGTTTAATACCTGGCATAGAGCTGCCACTTGTTTTTGTATGAGCATTTCTCACTTAACCAAATTAGTTCGGTTTATATGTCATGAAATTTGTGTCATTCGCATTGTCCTATATACATTCTTTTTGTGCACATTTAATGTCTTAACTTGATTTTTTGTCAGTTTACTGCTATTTGGTCCTATACACTTTCACTTTGTGAAATGAGTCTCTGCAACATTATATGATGCTCGGAAAATATCAGAATCTTTATGATCATGACTAGGTTTCTAAAAGTTACCAAAAGAAGCTGCTTTCACAAATGAAGTGAGTTGCCGTAGGTATTTCAACGTCTGTAGAAATATTTCTTAGTGCATACTGATACCTTTATCCCCAGCTGTCATGTTGTTTATAGAGTTATTGGGAAAAACTTGTGGTTTGTTAAATAATTCCGGTCACTTGCTGCCCATGGCTTCATAGTAGTGATTATTTTCTATCTTCTGACAAGAGAACCTCAGAGGCTCTGTTGAGATGATTACAGTTCTATATCGTTGAAAGATTGTCCATAAGACTAATTAAAGAAATTGAGCTCTTTTTATTAACTCCATTGCGGGTGTAATGCTTAGATTACATACGTGATGGTGACATTAGTTTTGTTTGTTCTCAAGTGTAGTTTTTGGTTTCAATGTATCTTTGGAGTTCTAGTCTGCTTGTTTTCGGTTGGATACATTATAATTTTCTGCGTCTTTGAACAGCTACTGGACGAGTGACAACAAAGGTGGATGTTTATGCTTTTGGAGTTGTTCTGATGGAGCTCATTACTGGTAGAAAAGCACTAGATGAGACAATGACTGATGAGCGGTCTCATTTGGTGACTTGGTTCCGACGGGTACTTATCAACAAAGACAACCTGCGAAAGGCCATTGACTCGACTCTTGATCCTGACGAGGAAACCTACGAAAGTATTTGCAAAGTTGCTGAATTGGCAGGTCACTGCACTGCACGTGAACCGCATCAGAGACCCGACATGGGACATGCTGTTAACGTACTCGGTCCTCTTGTTGAGCAATGGAAACCTACCAGGAATGAAGACGAAGATAGCTATGGCATTGACCTCCATATGAGCCTTCCTCAAGCCCTTCAAAGATGGCAAGCTGATGAAGGTACTTCCAGAATGTTTGATGATTTCTCATACAGTCAAACACAGGCCAGCATTCCCTCCAAGCCATCAGGATTTGCAGATACATTCAGTTCAACAGATTGCAGATGACAGCAAGGATGATCCATACATCAGGCTGTCTTAAACTATAAGGGAGCACCTTTCGGAAATTGGTTAGTGTTCTTCAGATGATCACTTGCCTTAAGCGGTTCAGGTCATTCCAGTTATTTATGATTTTCCCACCTTGGAAATGTGCTTTTTAATATCACACTAATCCTTGCAAGAAAATATATGGTCATCAGCAAGAGGGTTTCTTTTTCTTCTTTTTTTGTGGGATTTGTTGAACATTGAGGTTGACAATTGAATTGGTCAGATTTGAGCTTTTTGTTGAGTTAGTTTGTAAAATAGAATAGGGAAGAAAGAGAGTATTTTGTAACAAATTCTTTTTCCACTTGATTCTTTATTGTAAATTCTCATGTTGTTTGTTATTTAAATTCACTTCTTTCTTTCTAACCTTCCATGTTCTGTGATTCGGAATCGTCATGGACGGCCTAAAAGTTAGATTCTTTAACGTGTTTGCAACTTGCAACAAAGTAGCAAATTTGATTCAACTTTTCATACTGATATGTCTTTCTTTTTTTTAGTTGATTGGTTTCTTTTCATTTTATTTGCGTCTCAAAGTAAGAATAACATTTACCTATATATCAAACGATATGATTTCCATTTGGGAACAGAGGAGCATCTGATTTATTGTGATTAGATGATAAATAGATTGATAGTCTGAAGGCCTTTTTTTTTTTATAACATTTTTTTTCTTAATTTGAAAAACTTCTAAAGATAGGAACTTTTCCAGACAGTACAACGTATGGACAACAAGATCATGTCTTGTGCCAGCTATATTTTAGTTATTATTGTGGGCCAAAAAAATACCTTCCACACTTGGAATATTTGCTGGAACAAAGCTGGCCAACTGGCTAAAATCAAGTTTAAAAAAACCAAACCAAGTCAGTCATAGAAGGCAGAAAACCAAAAATTGAAAGATGAAATAGACATTTTCATATAGAAAAGAAAAAGATGAAAGCTAAACTGAATTGGGTTTTGCTCTGAATTATAGATACGAGATGATACTTTATGATACGGCGTAATAACACGATGAAGATATGATTCAATAAATGTATTATGCCCATTAAACACGTTATGTATAATTTGTATTTCTGAGTTTCATCTGTGAACATGAAGTATGTATCTGTTATCGGTTATCAATGTTTACCTAAAGTGTGTTTTTCCAATGGCTAATTAGCGTTCAAATTAGTTTTACTAATTTTTTGGTCTTTTTTTCAACTCTTTAAGATACAATTTGAAAATAGTACTCCCTCCCGTCTTAAACATAAGACATTGTAATTTGTCTTAATTGTCATTTAGTACACATTTTTAATCAGAAAAAAACCTAAAAAATATATTTTTGCATTCGTTGTGTTCTCTCATAATTGGTAGGAAATATTTTTAAAATTTTTTCGTCAATTAAAAATACATACTAAGTAAAATATAAAATAAATTAAAATGTCTTGTATGAAGGACGGATAGAGTATTACACTGAATCACTTGCATTTAGAAAATGGTTAAGGTTGCTACAAACTAGACAAGTCATTGACTCCATTAGGTGGGTTCATTATCCTTGTCTTTCCTCAAAAATTTGTTTCATGTTGATTTGGTTTGGTTATGATGGGAAAGACAAGTCATTATGCCCGTAGGCCCACATGGGGGGATGATGAGTGAGATTACAGAACCAGTGATAAAAGGCGCATAATGAGGAGGATTGTGAAAGCATAACAAGACTTTTGTTTTTTTGGGAGCACATGTTTGTGGGGACTTTTCCTCCTTGCCTTCAATTTTTTTCTTTTTTTTTTTTTTTGTGTGGGTCTTTTTGACTATGTTTGGGAAGCAACCTCAATCCTGTTATTAATTAATTGGCGTGAGGCTGACAAGGATTTATTTTATTTTATTTTGATTTTCTTACATTAACATAAATATCAATGTCATTGGGACCAATATTGTTTCCTAAATTGGTAAACGCAACTTAGCCATGATTTATGGCCATGCATTGGTTGGAAACTCATAGAGGTTCTTTTAACATTTAGTGGCAAATTGTCACTTTGATTAATCATATTCCTATATTTTAACCAACAACCACTTAGTTCAATTAGTAAAGGTATTGGCTTAGCTTAATTATAACCTGAATTTGAACTCGAATATAGACATGCAGCAGTAATTAAAATAATTGTTAGGAGAGCTTTGCCTCGGGAGCAACGACTTCGGACACCGGGCGCGTAATATTAAAAAAAAATTCCTATATCTTAAAATAATTGTCTAATTTAAATTTGTATTTTAAATTACAATTTAAAAGTGAAAAACTAAACTAGAGAATATTACAAAATTTATTGTATCAATCAAAAGGGACTGACTCCGGACAAATTTAATGGAATATATCTTCTCATAATAATAATAATAATAATAATAATAATAATAATAATAATAATAATAGTTTCGTGACGAATTGACTTAACAATTTGAAATATTATGCATTTCCCCGTCTTTTATTTTCATGCATATCGAGCAATTTTGATCAAACACATTTCCTTAATCCCAATAGAGTTCATGTAACACCAACTATACCTCGTTGATTTGCATTAGTAAAGTCTGTGATTTTATTTGTCAGTTGAAGTCTTTTCAATAAGATGGTGAAAGACGGTTATGGAACCGAAATTGGGAAAGAAAAGAACAACGACAAACGAAAAATATACTAAAAAAGAAACATATACTTAACTAAAACAATTTACAACAGATGTATTGAATATAATATATTACGAGATTTAAGTTTGTCAAAGCACGAGAAAATCTAATATACATCAGCTATACCCACTTTTTCAGTGCAACCAACCAATAGGGATTAATACTTAGTTTTTATACCTCTATGAATTTCTCTCTCTTTCTCTCCCATAAAAATATTACTTTTTCCGTTTTTATATATAAGATATACAACTGACGTGATGCAACGGCTGTACTATTACTCATCAAAGTACTCCTTCAAAAATAAAATAACACCATAGATTGGCTCGAAAGGAATATGAACTTAGCTTTTTGTGAAAATTAAGGTGATTGAGATTTCCAGCTAATTAATCATTGGCAATAGTGCTAAACGAGTAAAACTCAGGCTGGAAAAGTGCCTTGTTGAGGAGGGTTTTGCTAGTGAATAAATCAATCAATAAATAAAAACTTGCAAATTTATGCTTTTAGAGCGCCTTGATTCAGGGGAGATTAGTAGAAAGAGTCACATCTCACTTGGAAAAAAAAAATTGAGTAACAAAAAAATGGAACGAGGAAGGAATTATGTTAATGGACTTCAGTAATTTACCGGTGAAGTTTACGAAATAATATAGTCGCAAGGAATAAAAACAAAGATAATAGTAAACGGAAAAATTATTATTTCCAATTTTCTTTATACATGTATACAGCTCAAAATTCACTTTTAGTTAGCTTTAGGTGTCAACTAAACAATTTTTACATCTAAGAAATAAAAGGGATTGTTTGGCAAGCAAATTCTTGTTAAATGATTTGTGGAAACTTATATTTGCTTTTCTTAGTAATTCACAATACTCATTTTTTCTTTTATGCATTCACAAATTAATTAATTAATTTAATCAACCCCCAAAGTTACATTCGCAAGGGAAAATTAAATTGAGTATACCAAAAAAAATTAAATAAAATAAACGTGGACAAATTTAAATTTTTCAGAATATCTGTGGACAGAAATATATTGCTCGGATTTCTGAAATCCGAGTTTTGATTAATATTAGAGATTCAGATTTTGTAAATCCGGATCCATACTTAATAATAAAATAATAATTTCATAAATTTTGTTAAATAATAGTTTTTTTAGTTCTTTAATGAATAGTAAAGCTCGGATTTGTAGAATCCGAGTTTAGTTAAAAATTAATAAATCGCGGCGCGAAATTTTTGAATCCAAAAAACTGGAAGTCCGTAATCCGGTTTGACGAATTCGGATTTTAGAAATCCGGATGCCTTTAATTTTGGTTGGTGGAAGTAGGCATGTGCCTTAAATTGGAGGACCAACAAATTAATAAAATAATCTGAATTGACTAAACTCGGATTTATGAAATCCGAATCTAACACTGATTCGGATTTGAAAATCTGAAGTTACTTACAAACTCGGATTTCGTAAATCCGAGTTTAACGTAATATAAAAGAAAAAAAATTTCAGGCAGTTCTCATTCGAGAACTGAGTTGGATTTTCTGTTTTTGCAGCTCAAACAAGGGCGAATTGAAGTTTTTGATGCATTTTTGCCTCTAGATACGTGGAAATCGTTATTTGAAAGAGGTTAGATTGCAAAACCATGTTATTTAGTTTATTTTTGTGTTATTTTGATTGTTAGAATGATGTATGATAGATTAGGGTTTATGTTGGTTGGTTGTTTGGATGTTTTAGGTGTTGATTTTGAGGTTAGAGATGAGAAATTGTAGTTGTTCATGAGATATTGAAGTTGATTTATAAGTATTTTAGTATGGTGTATTTGTTGGAGTATGTATGGTGTATGGTGTATGGTGTATTTTAGAGAATGTATGGTGTATTTTGTTGATTTTGTTATTAAGAAATGATTAGTTATTGATGTTTTTTTTAACAGTTATCAATGGCACGTAATGTATCATACATGCTTAATTTGTATCATACAAGTAAGTATGTGATAGAGAACGGTAACATCAACACTTTTTCGAATATGCCGGATGATGGTTTGTTTGTCGAAGAAAGGTTGTCATATGAGGGATTGATTAGTAAGATTTGTATGACCCTTGGTTGGGATCCAAGACACGTGAAACTCCACCTTTCTTTGATTTTCGATAGTCCCGGTGGTAGGCGTGTAGTGAAGATCAAGAATGATTCGCATGTAGAGTTCATGGACCGTGTAGATCCAATGTCATGTTTGGATTTATACATAGATTTGGAAGATATCACTCAAGAAGAAAGAGAAGCGAGTTTGGAAAACGTGTCATTTGGTGATTTTCGAAGGGGGGAACGTGCTAGTACTTCTCGAAACCGTGATGAAGAGAGACACCTTTATTTGCACAAAATGACTACCGGGAAGAGTTGGATTCCGACTACATAGCTCCAAGTGAAAGCGAAGAAGACTGTGATGTCTCCGGAGAGAGTGATTTTGAAGAAAGTGATGATGAAAGGTTGGAAAATGAGGAAAGGGATTGTAATCTATTCGCCCGACGCCATGTATATAGTAAGATGGGGAACTGGGATGCCTCATGTGTAGACAAGGATGAGTTTGCTCTTAAGATGTGGGATGAGACGCCCGAAGGAATGGACATTGGTGTTTGTTTCAAATCTCAATCAGAAGCAAAGCATTTTGTGAAATTATGGAATATCCATCATAAAAGGGAATATACGGTCGCCGCGAGTAGTCCAAGGACGTGGGCCGTGCGGTGCGGAACATTTAATGTGGAAAGTGAGGATGGTGAACCACCATGT